ACACGACCGCCGTTGCGCGTCGTCGCCGTCCGCAGCAGCGCATCCAACAGCCCCGTCCCCGCGCGCCGCGCCTCCGACGCATCGTCCGGCTCCGTGTACGCCATCCTCGACGCGCTCAAGAAGGACGGCAGCACCACAAAGTGCGTCCCCGCACCCCCGCCGCGCGTCCGCAGACCGGCGTCCACCAGCACCTCCAGCGTCTCCGCCGGCTCCTTGCCGTAAATCGCACCGCCGTCTTCCACCGCGTGCGCCACCACCGTCACCGCCTCCGCCAGGCACCGCGCACCGCTGCCGTCGCTCGTGTTCGCCAGTCGCAGGGCCGAGCGCACCGACGCAGCACTCACTTCCCACGTCCGCCACCGCGCACCGGACGTCAGCGACCCGCCCGCCTCGGCCGCCGCCACCGCCGACCCCGCCGTCGTCGAGCCCTTCGCCAACACGCCACGCACCGCACTCCGCACCGCAGTGGCCGACACGCGACTCACGACGACGGCGTGCGCCACCACCGGCACCGCCGCCCCGTCGGCCGCGCGGTAGCACAGCGCCGCCTCCGACAACAGCAACGGCTGCAGCAGCTCACGCAGCAACTCCACTCCTGTGCTGCTGCTCAGCGGGTAGCCGACGAGCGGCATAATGAGCGCAATGGGGTTGGCCTTCCGTGACTCCACCTGCACGGCGTGCACCGGCACGGTCCGCACGGGCACGAACTTTACGTTCGGAACTGTGGCGGTGCAACGACTCGAGTAATAAAAGATGCCCATCATAAGTAACGCAACGCCCATAATGGAGACCAGCTTCGCACAGTATCTACGTCTACGTGTGGAGAATCTGTTGGGCGCGGCGGACTTGCGCTTCAGCGAGGGCGGTGTCACCGGTGTTGCAAGTTCACGATGGAGGCGCCGGAACGGGCTGAATTGGGGGGACGGCGGCGCCACCACCATCCCGTCATTGCTGACCCCCAAACGTCCACTGCTGCCCTTTCGCATGGTGCTTACGGAAATGATTCCGTATGCCAAGAAGGAAAGAAAAAATGGTCCACCAGGAACACAATAACAGAGAAGCCGGGGAGCTGTCAAGCTTTCAGAAGAAAATGCGATGTGTACGCTTCAGCACGAAAGATAGGAGATGGTGGAGAAAAGAAAAACGTGCAGACTGTGGTGGTGAGACTGGCGCGAAGAACACGCCGCGCGACCAAAAATCTGCAGTCGGCGAATTCAGTAGAAAATGTTTTTTGTTTATATCTGTATTGAAGAGGAAAATAACAAAGCGGTGATGTTTGAATATTCGCTTGGGTTTAAAGAGAGAAGCAGTTGCAACCGGGTTGCGTCGGATCTTAACGGTCTATCCAGAATAAAAAGTTTTCAAATCGTTTTTTCCTGGACCGCAAAGCACACCGCAGCGCACGGTTGAATATATATATATATATATAGAGAGAGAGAGAGAGAGAGGAAAGCTCGAAGCAATATAACTTACAGCATAGGACAATGGATAATGAAAAAAGAAAACGAAGAAACTGATTCTCAGAAAATAAGGAAATGAAGGAAGAGAAAACGACGATGTTCTTATGTCTTTGAGTGCACGGCGGGGATATCCAAAACTCTCGTAGCTCGCGGGGAGCTGGCACAGTTTGGTTAGGGAGAGAGTGTGTTTTGCGGTGGCGTGAAGGAGACGAAGAGGGAGCAGAAGCGCATTAGAGGAGAGAGGGAGAGAGTAGCAGAGGCGGACCGAACGAAGCGGCGTTGTGTCTCGTGCGAATTCACACAGAGGCGATGCGGGGGAGTTCCGTTACAGCAATTCATTTGGCACAAGATGGAATCAAGGCATGGAGAGGATGCTACGAGCACCGGCAGATGCAGACGCCCCTCACATTTCCACGAATCCAGCCGAGAAACACTAACGTGCCGGAGCGCTCTTTGCTCAGAAGCTGAAGTTGGCAAACACGCAACACTCCCGCGCATCGAGTCCCGATCAACAGCTACGCCGTTTTCGTGCCGTTTCTGTGGCAGTCGTTACAATCCGAACCACACAGGATGAGCCCGCTTCATTCTTTCGTTCTTTCGTTCATTTTTGTTGACAGAGCGAGACACCCAACGGTAATTTTCGGTTTCTCTTACCGTCATCGCGAAGGAAGATCGCGTCTTTGAAAGATGCCGTTCTCCATACGTACGCGTTATAGCGATGATGAAGGCGGCCGTGCGCGATGGAAACAAGAAAAGAGAGCCCCCGGTACTACCGGACCGGCTTGAAGACACTCAGCAATAAATGCTTTAGAAAGGGGAAGAGCGGACAAAGGTTCATAACAAGGGAGTTAGAAGATAATCAGTAAAAGAAGAAGAAGAAATGATGGGCTGCTGCATAGATGTATGGGCACCGACCCTGCGTGCATGTGAGCAAAGACGCAACAGTGGAGAAGGGAACCAGGTGGCCAACGGATACGTCCAGACATCGAAGTAACTCGGATAAGAGACGAAAAGAGAGGATTTTAATAGAAAAAGGAGCATTCCGCAGAAATGCTCTCATCAAACTGGAGAGCTGCCGGTCAGGCCGCACGTAATTGCGCCGTCCACGGCCACGTCTGCACCCACCATGTACGAGGCGCGGTCTGACGCGAGAAAGACGACGGCCTCCGCAATCTCACGTGGCTGGGCGAGACGTCCAATGGGAGAGGCCTCACCGACCATCTCCGGCGTCTGGTGCGTTAAATCCGCCAAGCGTTCGTTCATGGCGGTGTCGCTTGTCCCGGGGCTCACCGTGTTTACGCGAATGTTGAAGGGGATCAACTCCATCGCGAGCGACTTGCACAGCATCCGCACCGCACCCTTGCTCGCACAGTAGACAGCGATCTGAGAACAACCACGTACGGCGCACATCAAGGCAGTGCAGACAATGCTGCCACCGCCCTGCGCCTTCATCAGCGGGGCCACGGCGTGGTTGCCAAGGAACACACCAAGAGCGTTGACGTTCATCGTCTTGTTCCAGTTGTCCAGCGTCGTTCTCTCCAAGTCTGATGTGATCATGATGCCGGCGTTGCACACCAGCACATCGATGCGGCCAAAGGCGCTCTTGCACGCGTCCACCACAGTCGGCCACTGCTGTTCGTTCGACACGTCCAGCGCCGCCGCCACCGCGCGCTGTCCCTCCACGGCGTGATTGCCGGCGTTCAGCATGGCGGCCAGCTCCTCCACCGAGGCGCCGTTCACGTCTGCCAAAAACACGCTGCAGCCGCGCTCAAAGCACAGCTCGGAGATTCCGCGGCCGAGACCAGCACCGGCACCCGTGATGAAGGCAACCTTCTTGGCGAGCTCGTGGGACATCGTGTTGAATGAAGAAAGGTCTGTGCGGCCGTGCAAAGGTGAGTTTTACGTATTTGTTGGAGAATGCAATAAATCGCTTGCTTGCTATCATTGCGTGACGCTTCATGAATGCAAGACTCAAAGGTGTGTTGAGGCGGAGGTGTAGACGCAGAGGAGAATTGGTGAGCAAGATGTGCGGTGAAAACGGCAGGGAAGTCGGACGTGCGTGAAGAAGACGCACTGCTGTATCATTGAAAACGAACGCTTACTTTGCTTGTTTGTCAACGATTACTGGAAATGTTCAGATGCAGCAGAAAAAAGAGCAGCTCACTGCAAAGAAAGGCGACACTACCAAATAGAAATAAAGAAAGTCCCTGCCTCGCAGAACAAAAAGGCTGTCGCAGGGAGTAGGTCGTCGATCGCAGCGGGAATGGAGAGGAGTGCAGCAGCGCAGGCATTCACCTGCTCAATCCACGTGTCTCGGCTTTCTCAGCTCACCGTCACTATTGCTGTGAGACGAGCAGCTGAGCGCAGCATAGAGACCTGCTTCAGCTGGTAGATGAAGGTCAAGCTACGGTGCATCTACGAGCAGAGGCGTGAGGTGCAAACCATGGCAGCATACGAGTTAAAAGAAATCGAATCAGATTGATTGCAGCACGAACGCGTTGTCGGCGAGCTCATGAAACGACGTTTTCCTTCCATGTTGGCTACGTTTGAAATACAAGAACGAGAAGAGGGAGGGGCAAAAGAGAGGACGGTGTGTGCTGTTGCTGCTCCACTGAAGCGAGCTTCAAAGCTTGCTCGTCGGATGGGGAACAGTGCGACGTCGCTTACAACGCCAAAGGGTGCATACCGTTGTTGTCCCCCAACAACTCCTCCGGGGTGAACAAGAAAAAACCTCGCGGGGTCAGTGGTCACGGAAGCCTTCGCTCGTGTTGTTTGAGGTACTCGCTGACTTCGTGGTCGCCTCTGCTTCCCTCAGGCACCGAACCTGCTCCACGACACACGATGAGGCGTGGCTTGAAACGCAAACGACTCCTCCTATGATTCATCTTCTCATTATGGCTGAATCATTTTCTTCACCAACAGAATTCATTAAAGTTATACTCCACGATTTCAAACACCACCACCACCACTACTCTCTGTTATCACTGCGCTGTCAAAGACAACTTCGAAATCTCCTCCTCCTTTAAAACACCCTCAAAGGAACACTACGACGCCCACATCACCGTGCAGGATGATAGCTTAACAAGCACATACACAGCATTTCGTTACTTAAGAAACACCACCAAGAGTATTATAGAAAATAAGTTGCTGGCAAACCAGCTGATTTGTTAAATAAGAAGAAACGGAATGCCGTCAGAAACGGCATCGTGGGGCTGCATCATTTTCGTGGTGCACTCCACCCCTTCGCACACTGACACGCGTGTGTGCAACGCGCTCGGCGCCGCGGCCTACTCGCCCGCAAGACGGCGCATTTCCTCCTCGAGGAGACGCTGCTGCTCGTCGCGCTTCGACGGCTTGCCGACGTTGGCGCGCTCCCGCCACGTCTCCTCGAACTGTTCGGCGTCATCGAGAAACTTCGAGAGGATGATGCGCTCGTTGTTGCGGCGATCGTACTCACGGCGGTGCTCGGCCAGGTAGTTCTCTCGGACGGCGGCGCGCTCGGCCCGGTTGCGCTCAGCGTTTTCGGCGTCGACGGCCTTGCGCGCCGGGATCTCCAGCGCCCGCAGCGCCCGTTCGTATAGGTTTGCCTGCAGAATGTCCTTGCGGTCGTTGTCGACGCCGCGGCGCTTGAAGGCGGCCAGCAGGCGTGTGAGCTCGTCCTCGAAGGCGGCGGTGCTGCGGTAAACGATGGAGTCATCCACCTTAAAGCCGGGGTACTTGAGGCGGAGCTTGCGCAGTACCTCCTTGCCGCGCTCCTGCCGCTGGCGCTCGCGGTACTCGGGGTAGAGCGCTGCGATGTAAGCCTTCTGCGTGTCGTCCTTCTTCTGCACCTCCTGCTCGCGTCGCTCCTTCACCATCTTCTCCTTCTTCTTCAAGTCGTCCTGGACCTTCTTCTTGGCGCGCTCGGACTTGTTCGTGATGCAGGCCTGCTGAAGCTTGAAGATGGCTGTGCTGCGATTGCGTGCCGCCGCGAGGTCGGCAGCGGCGATGGGAGCCGGCTTCTTCGGCGCCGACGCGCCGGCCTGCGCGAAGTCGGAGTAGCGGCCCGTCGAGGCGCACATCGAGCTGGCGGGGACGGTGTCGACGGTGGCCACAATTTTGTTGTAGAAGCTCAGCATCTTCGCCTTGGAGGAGTCACTGAAGGAGAGGGTGTTGGTGCGGCTGTCGATCCCCACCGACACGGTGTCGTCGTCCAGGATGAGAGGCTCGATGCTGTTCACGTACTCGGCAGCCGTCAGGTTACCGCTGTAGGCTGCCAGCGTCAGCACGTCGATGTGGTTGCAGCTGACGGCGAGGCACTCCAGTTGGTGGCGCAGAATCACCTTGTGCAGCTCGTCGCCGTAGCGGGCGAGGTCCCCGTTGGCGGTCGTCAGCGCGGTCACGCTCTTGTGCAGCCCGGTGAAGTCCATGAAGTTCGCGTCCTCGAGGTTGGCTGCCAGCTTCACAATCTCCGGTGAGGCAAGGCTGTAGACGTTCTTCACCTTGAGCTGCTCCAGCAGGCTGGCCTTCGTCGTGACGGGGAAGTCAAAGAGTTCGTCGATGCGGGGACTCTTCTCGTGATGGCGGCCGAAGGGGTCCAGCTCGAGGTCGGTCTCCGTCACGCAGAGGGAGGCGACGACCGCACGAGCGGCGAGAGGGCTACGCTTCTCGTGCCGCTTCATGGAGGCCGCCGTGGAAAGGCAGTAGGCGTGGTAGTTGTAGAGGGAGCACGTCCAGAAGATGTCGCTCATCGTCTCGTAGGCGCCGGAGACGACGTCGGTGAGGTCCTCCTTGCGCTGCACGTTGTCGCACAACCGCTTCAGGCACGACAGCACGTCGAAGGCGCCGCCGTACTGGCGGAGGCTGCAGATGTCGTTCAGCAGGCAGCACAGCGTCTCCACCACCTCCGTCACAGCCGCCGTGGAGGCGAGGAAGTCAGCGCGCTCCTTCCGCATCTCTTGCACCGCCGCCCGCGACCGTGCGTCGTCGCGCTCCGTCAGGCGGTCGAGCGCCATGCGAGAAATCGTGCGCGACACAGCCGTCGACACGTCCAGCAGGCAGCCCGGTGCGTTGAACTCCTTGCACATGGACAGGAACTGGCGGACCGTCTTGTTGTAGATGAATGTCAGCTTCTTGGCAAAGCCAATGGTGTTGTTGCCGCAGAAGTGGCGAATCAGGCGTCCCAGCGCGTGGTTGCAGGGGCGGACGTGACGCTCCTCGGCGAGGGCGGCCAGCGAGATGCCGTTCATCGCCACCAGCAGCTTGTCACCGTCAGAGGGGTGGCTCTGCAGCGCCTCGGCGCGCTCCTTCGCGTTGACGCACATTTGGCGGATGCGGGACATGACGAGGTCAACAATGCGCTGCACGCTGTCTTCCAGGTGCTGCGAGCTGCGCAGGCCGGTGCGACAACGGCGCAGCACCTCAATCAACTTCTGCACCTCCGGCTTCTCACGTGTCAGCGCGAGGTCGGCGAGCAGCTCGAGGCACTGGAAGCCGACGACGGTGAGTTGGTTGTTCTGAAGATGGGCGGCGAGGGCCTCGATGGCATCCTTCACGTCGTTGTTCTTCAGGTGCTCCTGCGCCTTCGACAGGCTGCTGCGCGCACGCGCGTCGGCTGTGGCTGTGCGATCCATTCTGTCAGAAAACAAAAAAGAGTATAAGAAGTGGGGTGTAGCTGTTAGAGACGAGTGCTATTACTAACAATAATAGAAAGAAGAAAAAACTGGAGCGCAGCGATGTAGGCGCGTTACCCGGCAGAGGAGAGCAGGAGGAGACAGGAAGGCGAAGCGAGGAAAGAATGGTGATGCGAGTTGAGGTATCCACCGTGCTCTCAAAGAGGGAGAACGAGCGCATGATCTCGAACGTGGAGGAGCAGCCTCTGGAGGTGCTGTAGTCGAGACGGCAGCGTACGACACCTTCACCGCAGCTACCATCACCATCACAACAACAGTATTTGAGCCAAAGTTGCGAGACGCAAATGCTCTGCCAAGAATAATTCTTTTGCCAGTGGTAATATACGCCCACGTCACCGTACAAAAATGAAGTGCAGAAAAGAGATTCAGAAACAGAACATGAAAGGAAGTAAAGAGATGTAACGCACAAGGCGGACTGCACCACCAAAACAAAACCTGCAGCGGTGTTAGATGCCACGCGGCTGGCAGTAAATCGTCTGATTTAAAACCTGGCAGTCCGTGTTGAGAAAGGAGCCGGTGATAGAGGCAATGTTGTCGTGCCGCGCCGTCATGGTCATGAGACCGCGATCAGAAACGGTCAGCTGCCAGGCGACCCGCTCATCCATCGTGGGCTGCCGCTGCACCTCGTAGGCCCGCTGCACCAAGTCGTTTCTCTCAACGCAGCCGTAGCACTCGCTACTGCGATCTTTGATGATTTTACTCAGCTGGCGTGACGAGAGGGCGTGCAGGTGTTCGAGCGAAACGTGCGGCGCGGTGGATGTGGGGAGGCCGCGGGTGATGGCGCGAAGGTCGCTTTCATCGGTGGTGCCGATGCGACGACGGTGCAGCAGAAAGACCTGCTCCGGCGGGACCTCGGTCAGCAGGGACGCCGTGACAACACAGCTGCCGCCTAGCAGCGCCGCGAAACACAGAAAGACGCACAGCTGCTGTAACCTGCGCATTGTTGTGGTGTGTGGGGTGGCGGTTGTATTTGTATCTGTGGAAGGAGTGTTGCTGAATAGCGTATGGGTGAACACATACTTGTGGAGAGGGCGCCACAAGGAGAAGGTTGTCGTGGGAGACAGCGGGGTGTGGAGGGGGGGGGGGTAGAGAGAGAAGGAAGCGAATCGTCAAATACAATAGCAGAGATGATACTAACAGGGTAAAACCACAAAACACGAAGGAGAGAAAATGGCGAGTCCGTGCAGGTGGCTCTCCGTTGCATCTCCAGCTGAGGATCCATGCGTTGCTGGCTGCTCCGGTGGCCGACGCGCAGAGTCGAAAGCTGCTACACCAAGGAGCACGGTGTGGCGCCGAACACGACCGCGAACAGGGAGAAACGGCGGAGCTCCTTTCGTCAACGATCTGCGCCAAGCGCGATCACGAAGACGGAGCGATTTTCTCTGCCGCCGCGACGAGCACATTTTTGATTCTCTTTGCAGTTTATAAAGAAATACAAAAGGGAGAAATAACGAGATGGGTTTTTATGCCTCGGCGAGTGTCTCGGCCGAGCAGAAGTAGCGCGTCACAGCACGGCATCACCCTTAAGCGAAATGGTGTTCTGTAGCCGGGTGTGGCCGCAGGGTGCGGACGGGTGCCGGACCATCACCCACAGGAAGAAGGACCCAATACCCATAAAGAAGTGCCACCCGCCGTGATACACGCGGTACGGGTCTGCGTGGTCATTCAGCCCTAAGATGAAGAAGGGTATGGCAACGCACGCGAAGGCAATGCCGAGGAAGAGTTGGCGCACGTTCACGGGGGGCAGGCGCCGCTCGATGAAGCAGTACTTCACAATAGGGAAGACGCTGAAGAGGATGATTGGTGCCATGGTGAAGCGGACGTCCCAGGGGTGTTTCTGCTGGAGGACCAACGTGAGGAAGACGCAGAAGCACTTGCAGCACGTGTCCACGAAGGTATTCTGTAGGCAGCAGAGGTATACGTCCCACATGCCCATGATCGAGACAACGCCGATGTTGTCGAGGCGGTGCCACTCCTTCTCCGTGAGGAAGAGAGCCGTGCCGAAGCTCTCGGAGGAATGGTACAGGAAGGATACAAGCAGTGCAAAGAGTGACACGCAGAACTCAAACACGTAACCACGCCTGTAAAAGAAGTACGGCATCGGCAGCATCGTCAGGTGACTCAGCACCGTCGTTGTGAAAAGAATCCAGTGGCTCTCCCCTTGCCGCATGGCCGCACCGCGATCGTCGATAGCGCAACGGAAGAATAATGAATAATAAAAGAAAGCAAAAGCAAGCGGCACAAAACCGTTGCGAAAGGTCCGATGTGTCGAGCAACGAAGATATTCGCAGAAATATGTTTTCCTGTAGATACGTTTCTGTGGGTATTTATAATCGGGAGATCGCCTTGCGCTCCTCCGCCCTCAGCGCGACGTGGTCTAGCAATGATAGTTACTCGTACTAGCAGTGCCGGTCAACGGATTATTATATATGTTTGCATCGGCAGTGTGTACAAACAAAAGGACCAGAAGGAGGGAAAGCACGGCGCAGACCAGATCGAGTACGATGCGCGGCAAAGAAAGACAACATAAATTGAAGCTGCGGCAACAACGAGCGGCAACCGACAAGCTGAAAGCTCCGTAGCCTCTCAACGCAATGTGCCGCGACTGGTCGGCTTCAACAAATCAGAGACATCGCGCACGGGAGGAATTATGCACTTCATGGAAAACAACGTTTACTATTTTTTGTTAATGATCATTATTATTATCAACACAATCCTTTTGTATCTTTGTCGTTTCTACGCTTAAGAGTAAAGTCATAAGCAGAAGGGATAACACACACACACACCAGAAAGAAAGGGGTGGAAAGAGGAGGCCGGAAGAGCTGCAGCCTTGTGCTGCGCACCGGGCGCTGCCAAGGATTCTGCGCCGCACCTGCCTCACATGTTCACCACCACCGCAACGGGCTCATCGTAGCGCGGCGACAGCGTGGGGCTCCTCTTCCGCTCTACCGGCCGTCGCAGGCAGTAGAAGAAGAAGAAAACGCCGATGCCGATGCAGACGTGAAAGAGACCGTGAAACATGCGGAAGGGGTCGTGTTGGTCGTCGAGCCCAATTGCAAAGAACACGAAACCGAAGGCGCACGCGGCGAGGCCGTTGATGAGGCGGCGGATGACAATACCTTGACGCCGTCGTGGGTACAGCACGTGCGAGACGACGGGCACGCAGACGCACATCCCAACCGGAGCGGCGGTGTATCGAATGTCCCACGGCGCCGCCTCCTGCACGATGATGACGGCGAACAGCGCCGCCGACTGCACGTACTCGAGCATCCCACGGCTTTCCAGGCACGCAAGGTGGAGGCAGGAGCACCCCACCGAGGTAATGGCACCGATGTTGTCGAGACGGTGCCATTGCATCTCTGAGAGAAACAAAACCGTGTGAAAGCACTCACAGGTGTGGTACATGAAGGATACCATCACCGCGAAGAAGCCGAGCACGCATTCCGTACGCATCTGTCGGCGCATGAGCAGCGCCACAGTGAAAAGCATGGGGAGATGACTCACCACACACGTAATGAACACGGCCCATCGCGGATCCTCTGGACGTCCTGGCATAAGGTTAAAGCGAAGAATTGCTTCTAAGTGGGCGGAAAGGACGGGCGCACAACGCACCTGTCACTGTTGAGACGTGCACCAGCAAAGCAAAAGGAGAAAATAACGTGCTTCTACCGTACCGTCATGGCGGGTACGTCCTCTGCCGCACTCTCCGCAGGCGCACCACAGCGAATGTGCAGTGAGAATTGCCGTGGGCGTTCGTGCTCTGCCTGGGTTGGTTAGCGAAATGCGTTCGTAGAACGAGTGCACGTCAACGACGAAGACAACGCGATGCAAACCAGCGGTGGCGCTTCACGACCCAACGAGGAGGCGGACGCACTCTCAATGGTGAAAAAAATAAAAAATGAGGGGAAAAATAATGGGGTGAGTTCTTTACTTTTACACAGAAGCGATGCGTGTGCGTTCAACGTTGGTGGCGGTAGGGCACAGTGGGGGGTTTGCGGAGTGAGGCGGGAGCGCCAGAGCGATCGAGAAAGGAGAAGAAGAAAGGAGAAGAGAGAATGCTGATGCATTGTAGAAGTGCACATGTATACATTGGCTCGACTACCTTTGATGTAGAAACCCGGCAATAGCGAAGGTCATACTGGGAACGCCGTGGGGGAAGGAGGGGGGGGGGGGGGCCGAAAAGAGCACAGCCGGTTCGTCGTTGCTACCTGAACGAGTTGATGCCGCTGCTCTCGTCTCTGGAATGCGTGCAAGTAGAAGGATCGACTGCGCTGCAAACCTTTTCCCTTTCCTTTTCATTCTTACTGTTTTTGTGTTACTCTTGCCCGGCTGTCGTGTCATAAACGCCTTTTAAAGAAGGGAGTGCAATGAGGCTGCTTGATGTACTTTACATACACAGACGCGTGTGCGACCTACGCACCTGCGTGTGAAGCGCGTGGTGCCTAGAAGAGAAGAAAAAAGACGTAGACGAAGAAGACACGCCTCCCCACGCATCATAGCGCTCAGTAAGGGCTGCAGCGAGGGGGGATTCAGCTACGACGTTGAAAGCAAGAAAGACAGGCTTCAAAGACACCGCGCAACGCAAACACGCCGACATGAGAAGCCAAACAATCACCGAGACAACGGAGGAGACGACCCGCACCTGGCAGAAAGAAACAACATCGCAAGAAGCAAAAAATAATAATTGAGGAACGTATGCAATAGAAAGCAGTCGCTTATCTGCGGAGCACTAAAATAAAGGTTGAAACAAATGAAGAAGGAGAAACACCTTTCTTTGTTATATTAAGTGATGACGTACACACGCGTTCCCCCCGCTTTGCGGAACCTTTCTTGTTGAAGGAAACGCCGAAAGCAGTCAGCTGCGAGAGACGCACGCCGCATCGTGACACGTCCCACTCACGCTGATTTTCCGCGCCAGGGAGTAAATGAACTGTGCCGTTCGCGCTCCCGCTTCGTATGTGTGGGTGATGCATACACACCATACTGAGCAGCCGCAGCAACAGGTGCGTCTCTGTCCGACAAGCCAGCAGTACCCCACTCTGTGGACTCGCAAGCACAGGCGCAGAGGTGTACGAATGCCTCCGCACCTTCTAGAAAAAGCAACAGTAACGGAGCCAACCGCAGCAGCTATCAGGGCCGTGATGGGCAGAGTTCACCTCAATCACCTCCGTCTCATCACCTTGTTCGCACCCTGGCCCCGCAGACGACGACGCAGCCGCCGCAGCACCAACAGCCGCGGCGATCAGCACACTTCGCTCCGGTGCGTCGAGAGCGTCACCCGGCGCCTTTAACCGCATGCGACGCCGTCTGCGCGCATCGGATGGGCTCATGATTCGGCCCTCATCACCCACTACCGGCGCAAAACACATGGGGCAGATGGTAGATCGCTGCCGCCACGACTCTAAACACTGCAGATGGAAGCCGTGCTCGCATTTCAGAAGGATCGCGGGGTTGTCGAGGGTGAAGTGCTCGAGGCAAATCGGACACGACGTGAGATGGTACTCGCCCACGTCGAACGTCTCGAGCCCGTCCACGACGTTGTCGTTGCCGCAGTCACTGAGGTTGGCGCAGCTCGAGTTGTGCGAGGCTGGCACGAGCGACACGGCCTGGGGACCGCCTTTACGCGGCGGACGGAGCATGACCGAGAAACTAAACAAAAATACTAATACCTGTGGATGAAAGAGAAGGAATGAGTACAAACTCCGCTGGCGCGGTGGGACGCGTGCGCAGAGGAAGCTACGTGCGGCCGCACTTGAAAGAAGCAGTGAAGAGAAAGAATAGAAACTGACAGAAGGAGAAAGGCGCGTATGGCCACGGAGACATTCGTTGCAATGTTCGTTGGCAGAAACCGTTTCCCCCCTGAATACAGCGCAATACGCCATCACGGCAGCCGTGCAGCGCGGGCACATTGGTCGAATGCGTGTGCAGCATAAAGGAAAAGGAGAAAGGGAAAGGGCGAAGGACAGAGAGGTGGGTGGGTGGGGCGGGGGTGTCGCACCGGTGGGTGTCCAGCGCAGCGCAGCGAGAACGCCAACAGCGGCAGAAAGACATGTTATCAAACAAATACGAGAAATTAGAAGAACAAATGGCCGCGTGGAGCTGCTGTGGAGACTCTGCGGTTCAACCGGGTTCGATGTTCCTCTTTGATGGATGTAAGTTTAAATCACCTGTTAGTCGATTATAATGGTGCCCCCGACCGATACAACGACATTACGGGAGCCATGATAACAGCAACAGCATTCCTCACACTTGAAAGCACATCATTTATTCAGCCCTCCTCGCGCGGATAAACGCGCTGTACCGCATGCGAATCATCGCCGCAGCACATTTCCAACGCCCAACGCTACCAAGAGTGCTTCGCAGCTACACCTGTCGCCGAAAAGCAAGGCGGCGTGGGAACACAGCGCAGCCCTCATTGGTTTATACGAATGTATGTATTTAATCGCCCCCAGACTTCCTCTCTGCACCGTCGTGGATGAACTGACCGGGAAAGAGAAGCCGACGCACGGCGGTGGGGGCCAGCCGCTTCGGGTCGGTGTCGACGTACTCGCCCGCCATGCGTTTCCGCTCTTCCTCCTTCTCCTGTTGAATCATGAAGCGATAGAATTCAGGATCAAAGAACTGCAGCGCCGCCTCTAGGGCGTTCGTGACCACCACAACCGAAAAGAAAAGCACGAGGAGGAGCATCACCGCATAGGAGAAGATTGCAAAGAGGCGCACCCGGTCAAGGCGGCGCACCTTCTGCCTCGACGCTGCCAAAAGCTGTCTATAGAGCACCGGCGATGACCCGTTCTGGTGCCACAAGCTAACTGGATTCGTTGACATCCCGTAGGCCGTCTGCAGGATCGCGTACTCGCTTTCACCTGCGGCGGTCGTGGCGGTGTCGGGGTGCGTCTCCAGCACCAGCGTGCGGTAGCGTGCGCGTATCTCAGTCAACTCGGCGTGGTCCGGCAGTCCCATCACCCGCAGCGGGGAGCCGTGCTTCTTCAGCCACTGCTGCTCCTTTTCCAGTTCCTCCGCGCGCTCCATCCCGCTCTGCATGCGGATTGCAATCCGCTTCTTCAGAGAGGTCGGCGTGAGAGCCACGAAGAGCGAGCGCAGCGCCTTGGCGAAACGGCCGGGCTTGTAGCTGTGCTGATCGCCGGTGGTGACGCAGCGTAGCGCGGTCCAGCACGGCGTCGCGCACGATTCGGACGACCGCCCACGACAACCAATGCGTCGCATCTCCCGCCTTTCTCGAGCTCTGCCGGCTGATTCTTTCTTGACCGCCGACCTCCACCAACGCCGTTGTCCTTTGATGTCGGCGCGACTGTACAGCGCAGCGCGGTGACCTCAAACAACCAAACAAACAAACGAGATGGCGGTGCAATACCACAGCGGCTGCGTCAAGCGATGCGCTTTTTGCGATGATCCGAGAAACTTTCACCCCGGAAAAAAAAAGATCGGGAAGCGTAAAGGGAGAGAGCTGAAGAAAAGCGAAGCCGGCAGCTGCGTCGTGGCCCCCTCCCCTCAGACGTACAGCGAGAGAGAGAGGCCACGCATTTCAAAACGGGGCGGAGGAATCGTATCGTGTGATGCGACATGCCCCGCAGAAATCCTACGCGCTAAACAAAAGATCGGCAAGCTCACAGCTCTATTGTCAGTAAGCATACACACACACACACACATATATATATATATATATATATGCAAGTTGAATAGCGACCGAATACCTCCGCGCGGCTTGCGTTAGGTGTCTCGTTGTTCTAGTCTTCTCTTTTCCACTTGTTGAACTGATAAAAACAACGGCCGTGCAGCGTAATGTTTGCGCTCAGCAGGTCCCCTACAGTGTGCTAAAGAGAACTCAAACCGCCTCCTACCACCACCACCACCACCACACAGCTCCCTACACACTCGAGCCTCGTCACGACTGCCCCCAGAAACGGCACAAAACGGCCCGTCCATCAAGCTTACTGCCGTGCAGGTGTGCAATCGCCAACGCCGCTTTCGCCTTGCTCGAAAGCGCGCAGATCACCGCAACGCGATCGTCAAACACCGCCGCCGGCGCGCCGTTCGCTGGGGCCTCCGCGGACATCTCTCCATTGTCTCCTTCACTTCTACTCTTTTTCAAGAGCGGCGCACCCTCCTCTGACGCCTCCGCGCGTGCCGCTGCGTCGTCCACGAGTACCTTCCACGACGACACTGTGTCCTTACTCACAAACTCCACCCGCTCCACCACGGCTCGCAGGAGTTCCTTCTTCTCGTCCTCGGTCGATGCTGCGTAGGAGTCTAGCGCGACGACGTTGGTGAGGAGAATGGTGTGGACCGGGGCCCCAGCGGGTCCGTTGCCTTGAAGAAGACGCGTGCACTTTTTGTGCAGGCTCTGCTCCCGCCGCCGCTTCTCCCACCGTTTGGCGATGTCCTCACGTATGAGCTCCACGATTCGATCTACCGTGAGATGCTGCAGGGACGACTCCTTCAGCACGCGGTTAAACCAAAAGCCGGCCACGGCGTCCCACTGCTTTTCGTAGAAGTGGAAATGTGGGCTATCTCGCAGGTCCGCGGGCATCCTGAGGTCTTGTCGGGAAAACTGTAGGCGGCGTCCGGTGCTGCCCCACACGACCAGTGCGCTGCCGTGATCGGTCATGTCGTGTTGCCTACTCTTCGTTGTGTTCTCCAAATGCCGCACCCCAATTGTCTCCTGTGGAGGCCTCCCGTACTGCAAACGTCAAGCGAAATGAGAGGAAAAGAGTTCAAATAAACCTGAAAGAGGGAGAAAGGAAGGAGGAGGAGGGAGCTACAGAGCGGGGCGGTGTACACGCACAATACACCACGTGTGTTGGTGCTTCTTTGTGCAGTGATACACACACACACACACACATATGCATGCATACAGGTATCGCTGAGTGAGTGTTTCCAGCAACAGAAAACCCGATCCCTCTAGGTGACAGCAGCGGACACAGAAAGTGCGTGGGCACGGCAGAGGATGGAGACGGAGGCATTGCTGTGTGCAGCAGAGTCGGTTTCCACATCTTTGCTTCATTGTTAACGGGTATGATACAAGGTTGGTCGTGGAACATCCACCGCCAAGCCAGAAAAAAAAAGGGAGAAAAGGAGAAAGTCTAAGCCAGTGTCACCGAAGGCTAATATTTACCTTCAACGGGTGAAAGAAAAAGGAAAGAAGAAAACGTGCCCTTGTGGCGTTGTTTACGTACATACATCAAAATAGAAGCTCGTTGACTGACTAGACAAAAGGCGAAGGAAGAAGTACGGCGGCTTGCGACGGCTCTCCCGTCTTTCCGCCCTTTCCGCTGCGATCACGTGCGTTGGTGCCAAGAGTAAAGCGGCACCAACGCACGTGAAGAGTGAGAGCCGGATGGCAAGCAATGAAGAAAAGAAAGGAAAAACAACAACATCATCAACAACAAACATTAATTATCAAGTCATCAGCAAGCCTACGGGTAAGAAGAACGGAGAAAGGAAAAGGGAAAAAAGGATTTGATGCCAGTTACTACGCAACGAGCGAGAGACGCGAACGCCTTCAACAGGTCATCTTACCTCGGTTGCTCTTACAGCAAAACACGCAACTGAAGCGTCTCACGCTCTTTCCACGCCGCTTTACCGAAGGGGAAGCAGCCATCGACGACCCCAGCGGTTCTACGACACCTGCTCCTCTCTCCACTTGCCTTTGCTTAATTACAGTTTTTGATGGTTCCGAAGGGTGACGACGTGCGCCAGCGGTCCAACCCCCTCCCCCCCCCCACCACCACCACCACCACCACCCCACACCCACACGCACACTCAGTGCTACAGCTCCGTACCACCCTCTCACGAGGTTTTATCGCTGTGGCGCACCGGGGGCAGTCGAGCGATGGGGGGAAGACGCGGTATGCGAGAGTTTCGGCCATCCGATCGTCGTGGCACCACCTGCAGCGCGCCTCGCTTCTGCCGGAAGCCGTACGCTGTACTGTTGGAGGAAAAGATGGAGTCGCCTGGGCTTTGGGAGGTACTTCTGCTCGTCAAATCCGCCACGGAGGAGCTGTGCGAAAGGGCAGGTGGCGCCAGTTTTTCCTTCAGAAAGCTGTTGATTTGGCTTATGGTCTCCGCACGGATGCCCGTGTCGCCGACGTTGATGGTGGTCACGTGGGAAAGGGGGTTGCGGGCAAGACGGACCAGGGCGCGCCCTGCCACAGCTGGGATTGGGTTGTGCGACAAGTCGATGGAGCGCAGCGACGGGTGCTTCATGGTCACCTTAAGAAACGCCTGAATCACCGAGAGACTGCGGATGTTGTTCCAGCTGAAGTCAACGTGGCGCAGATAAGTGCAGGTGTTGATCATCGCCACCAACTCCAGCAGTGCCATCGGGCGGGTATGGAACATGTTGCTACAGTTCAATGAGTCGCCAGGCGGCTCATACTGTCCCGTCACCAAATAGTGGTGGTCACGAAGAATGGGGAAGTCGCCGTAGCCTAGCTTATCCAATCGCTTCACCTTGTAAAAGTAGAGAAGCCGTTGAGCCGCGATGACAGCCAGCACGGCTGCACGCCAGCGCTCGGCCAGCCTTGAGAAGCTGGCGGAGGACATGTGGGCAGTGGATAGCGAAGCCTGTTGGCTGAGTTCCATGCCGGCTTTGACCCATGGGTGCTTCAGCGCTTCGGTAGCGGTCATGCGTCGATGCGGGTCGGAAGTCAAAAGCCGGTGAATAAAGTCCTGCAGAAGAGGTGGGCATTTCGGTGCGGTGCTGGAGCTGCCGTGCGTGTTGTCGTCCTGTGGGCGGTAGCCGCGGCAGATCTCGCGAGAGAGCGCCGATTCTGTACGTCCTTTAAACGGATACTCGCCGAGGAACATCACATGTGCCATGACCCCCATCGCCCACATATCTACGGGTTTTCCGTAATGCGTGTCTCGTAGAATTTCAGGGGCCATGTAATGCAGCGTGCCACACCGCGTCGTCAAACACTGCTCGTTGCCTGCCAACACCGACAGCCCAAAGTCGGATATTTTCACCACCAGATCGTTTTGTGAAAGGAGGCAGTTGCTGGGCTTCAAGTCGCGGTGCACGATGCCCTTGTCGTGGATGTACTCCACGGCCATCAGCAGCTGCGTCACGAAACGCCGTGCCTCGGCTTCCGAGACGCGTTCGCGGTCCAGGCGGTGCTGTAGCGAGTCACCTGGCAAATACTCCATCACGATCCACAAGTACGCGTCGTCTTGGTACGTTTCTTCCAATTTCACAATGTTCGGGTGCGAAAGCAGACTCATCGTCTCCACTTCACCCATTACACTCCGCAGCCCCTTCGTCCCAGCAGCGCGCTTGTCAATTCGCTTCACGGCGTAGAGGTCTTTGCTGCCGTTGCGGCGAGTGGTTCTCCACACGTCGCCGTAGGAGCCGCTTCCAATCTTATCGAGGAAGGCGTAGCGGGACTCAATCGGAACTAGGTCCGACGAGTAGCCGACGTGTGCGCCACGCTGAAGGCTGTCTTGAAGCGCGTAAAAGTCCATGGCGCCGTTTAAGGAAGCACGGTGAAACAGCCCAAACACACAGCATTATGTGCTGCAGAGCTGTGGGGTAAAAGCAAGGTGGGAACGGCATACATTTAGCGGGATGTGATCGCCCCATACATGGTGATAGTAACACAGACAAAGAGAGAGGAGAACAGAAGTCGTCAAGGCCAAGCCGCACGAAGAGAACGTCAGTACTGAGGCCGCTGCTTCACGCATGGCATCGTAGGAAAACGGAAAACCCTACCAATAAGAAGCGCTAGAGGAACATTGAGGGCCACGCTGGACAAATCGGTGGCTTTCACGGCTGTGTGCGTCGCCTACAAAGAAGAGGTGCGGACGCTGGGTATAAATAAATCAACCCTCGCGGAGCTGCATAAGGCCGGACAGCAGCGTCTCGCTCCTCCCCCGCCCCTCCCTCCGCGCAGGGCATATTGCGTGCCTATTCGAGGGCATTACTCATGGGCACCAACCGACTCAACACTCAACAGCTGCATCTGCTTGTGCGCGTACACCTCGCCGGCACTCCTTCTCCGGGGACCATGCAAGTTCATTCGTATAACCATTTCCAGCGCGTTTATCCCGCCTTGTAGACGTCAAGAGATCTCGCACAGCGCCGCACAGCCCAGAAAAGTAGAAGAGAAAGTTGAGAAGTGCCTCAAAAAATCATCGAAGCAATTAAAGCCCACAGCTGATGCAGGACCGTTCTGAACGACGTCCATCACATTCCTAGAGCACAACAGACGTGTCGGCACTCCTCAACGCAAACCGACCAAAGACACCAACAGAGTGCTTTGCCATTTATCCCTCTCTTCATCCGCATTTAATAAACACGTTCGTCTGCCTCTGATGTGACATCACATAGAGTAAACAACACGTTGCCTTCAACAACTACTGCTGATTCGTCAACCCCTGTTCGCGCAGCTTCTCGACGAGCCAGTCCATTCCGTCGAGCAGGCCCTCGCCCGTCTTGGCACTACTCTTTACAATCGTCCACGTGCGATTCATGATGGAGGACACACCAAGCTGCTCCGCAATCTCCACCTCCGTTGCCGCCTCTGGGAGATCCTGCTTATTCGCAAAAATCAAGAGAAGACTTTTCCGCAGCTCATCCTCGTCTAACAAGGCAAACAGTTCGTGTTTCGCCACTCCCATGCGATCCTTATCGGTGCTGTCGACCACGTAAATGACCGCATCTGTATCGTTGAAGTAGCACCGCCAATACGGTCGCACGCCGGTCTGACCACCGAGGTCCCACACTTCAAACGAGATGTTTTTGTACTGAAGGGTTTCTAAGTTCACTCCAACCGTGGGGACGGTGGTGACCACATCGCCAAGATGCAGGCGGTACAGGATGGATGTCTTTCCTGCGTTGTCAAGACCCAGCATCAGTACACGTATTTTCCGATCTGCGGGCAGGAGACCGAGGGCCTGCCGCAGACTGGTTAACCAGGCGCCCATCACCGCAAAAGGAGCAACACGGAAGGGCGGTTAGGAACTCGGCAGCCGTGCAAGCTGAAGCAAGGGCGCAGCAACACAAAGGAAGGAGGACTGTCTACGGAACGACGTATGGACCGCTCGATTTCGCAGAATGATTTACGCGGCGCCGTGTGCAAGAAGAACGACAGAGTGGGGCGTGATTACGTACAACACCGATGCATGTAAATCGTACGAGGATCAGCAATGCAGTGCCTCGAGATAAGCCGCAACCGTCACCGCGATTTCAATCAAAAAAACTACACGAACGAAAATACACCCCGGACGAGACACTCCAATACAACTAAGCAACAGACAGAAAACTGAAAGCAGAAAAAGGGAGAATCACACAGTCCAAATGAAGAAGGAAAACAGCGAAGTAGTTGAATGCGCCGTCGAGGCTCTGAGGGCAAAAGCAGCAACGTTCACGAGCGACATCTCAGCGGACGCAAAATAACGCTGAGGGTCCAACAGGACCACCGTTTCGAGCACCGTTCGCCGTTCAGTACTTGCAAGGCAAACACCAACGCTTGTCTCGATCAGCAATCAGCGATCACCGATCACCAGCTGCCAAACGGAACGCTCCACGCCTCCGTCAACCACCGTGACATCGTAGTACCTACAGCAAAAATCACCACTTGAAGATGTTGCTTTATAGATCCAAATAACAGGAAAACAAGGAAAGAACAGGGGTCACGCCAACAATCCACTTACTCCAGCGCTCGAATACACGCGAATTGAGCAGCACGGGCCCGGCAGACGCAGTGCCGCCGCGCTCCGCTTACTTCTTCGTGGCCTTGGCGGCGGCCTTGGTCACCTTACCAGCGCTGCCGTCCTTCTTGTTCACGCCCTTGATGATGCCGACGGCGACCGTCTGGCGCATGTCGCGGACGGCGAAGCGGCCCAGCGGCGGGTAGTCGTTGAACACCTCCACGCACATCGGCTTCTGCGGGACCATCTTCACGATGGCCGCATCGCCGGACTTGATGGCCTTGGGGTTCTTCTCCAGCTCCTTACCAGAGCGGCGGTCGATCTTGGACTCGATGTCCGCGAACTTGCACGCGATGTGGCTGGTGTGGCAGTCCAGCACCGGCGCGTAGCCGTTGCTGATCTGGCCGGGGTGGTTCAGCACGATCACCTGGGCGGTGAAGTCGGCCGCCTCCTTCGGCGGGTCGTTCTTCGAGTTACCGCACACGTTGCCACGGCGGATATCCTTCACCGACACGTTCTTCACGTTGAAGCCAACGTTGTCGCCGGGCACCGCCTCAGCCAGCTGCTCGTGGTGCATCTCGATCGACTTCACCTCCGTCGTCACGTTGGCGGGCGCGAACGTCACCACGTCGCCGGGCTTCATCACGCCGGTCTCCACACGGCCCACGGGCACCGTGCCGATACCGCCGATCTTGTACACATCCTGCAGGGGCAGGCGCAGCGGCTTGTCCACCGGGCGCACAGGGGCCTCCAGCATGTCCAGGGCCTCCAGCAGCGTCGCGCCCTTGTACCACGGCATGTTGTCCGACTTCTCGATCATGTTGTCGCCCTGCCAGCCGGAGATCGGGATGAAGCGGACCTTCTCCGGGTTGTAGCCGACGCGCTTCAGGTACGCGCCGACCTCCTTGCTGATCTCCTCGTAGCGCGCCTGCGAGTACTGCACCGTCTTGTCGTCCATCTTGTTGCAGCACACAACCATCTGCTTCACGCCCAGCGTGAAGGCCAGCAGGGCGTGCTCGCGGGTCTGGCCGTCCTTCGAGATACCGGCCTCGAAGCCGCCCTGCGTCGAGTCGATCATCAGAATGGCCGCATCGGCCTGCGAGGTGCCGGTGATCATGTTCTTGATGAAGTCACGGTGGCCGGGGGCGTCGATGATCGTGAAGACAGACTTGGGGGACTCGAACTTCCACAGCGCAATGTCGATCGTGATGCCGCGCTCGCGCTCCGCCTTCAGCTTGTCCAGCACCCACGCGTACTTGAAGGACGCCTTGCCGATCTCGGCGGCCTCCTTCTCGAACTTCTCGATGGTGCGCTTGTCGATGCCACCGCACTTGTAAATCAGGTGGCCAGTGGCAGTGGACTTGCCGGCATCGACGTGGCCCACGACCACGAGGTTCATGTGCACCTTGTCCTTACCCATGGTGAATAGCGAAGAGTGTTAGGAGGGAGTTAGAGAGCTAGATAACTGCGCGTTGTGCGCCGGGTGCAGGCACGGCGGACAAGAGAAGAGAGCGCCGAGGAGGCGAAGGGCAGGCGGAGGGCGAGGCGATGTGGGGAGGGGAGGGGGTCGGCGAGCGAAGAGAGCATGGGGCGGCAGGGAGAGGGAAGGGGCGGGCCGCGCGCGAGGTGCGCC